ATATATCTGTCTTTCAACCTTATTCATGAAACCAAAAGGGACCTTCCATAGGAAGATACATTTCCAATAAAAACTAACAGTGATTTTTATTCTGCCTTTAAAGAGCTCATCAACTGTCAACACTTCCCTGGAGGATGAATCACTGCTCTGACAAATTTAATCCAGAGCTTGTTCAAGTCATGCGACAAAGGTGGCCAACTCACTAATGACGACCATCCAGAGGAACACAGTGCTAGGCTTTATATGAGCTCTTAGCACTCTGGATTCCACGTTTCAGCAAGACGCCACACCTTGCCTTAAAAAGGGAGGATAAGCAGTGTTACATCACCATGCCTCACTTGCAGACAAGTTATTTACCTACCCAGATGGAAGGATTTTCGACTTTTCCACCTTCTCAGGCCTTTATTGTTCCTTTGGGACTATTGCTCATCTCGCTGCCTAATCCTGGTTCCCTGTCCTGCCAAAAACCCTAACAAAAATACCAGCTTTCACCGCCTTGTAACTTGGTAGCTGACTACCTATTCCATCCGCATGCTGGAGAACGGTGCTACAGTGCGCCAAATCAAACAGGAGCACTGCTATGGGACTGGAAAGCAAACAGTTTGCTGAGTTTTTAATGTTCTTATCATTATGCTGACATACAAAAGGGAAAAAGTATTAAAAGCAGCATTATCAGAGGTTCAAAAAGAAAGGGCAATCACTTACTTCCACGACGGATGTTAATCAGGAGATTTCCCTTGAGAATTGTGCATCCCTGCAACATTTGTGCTGATGTGACAGAGTCGATGGTCTTTGTTTTCCCATCCTCACAAATTTTGGGGCAGGGCCCCTCACAGGGGCTGCAGAACATGCTGTTAGGAAAGAAAGGGAGACTGAAAATAAGCAATGATGTGCAACTTAGTCTATAGATGGCTTTGAGCTAAATTTTGAAAGACATTTTCCTCTAAAGCCTAGAGAAATCCTTCAAGGAAGTGAAGACTTCATCATTCCTCCCATTTACAGCAACGCAGGAGTGAATGAATGGACCCAGACTCACTGTCTGCCACCTTCTGAAAGGCTCTGTGGCCCTTCCAAAGAGGAAAGTGCTTCAGGTAAAACCCAGCGCCCTCACATTTGTGCATTTACTCTAATTATACTCAGAAAGATCACCCTTCTCATTTATGGACGCAGCCTAAGAGCGCAGTGAAATTTTGTGCTAATCCAGGCCCAATCTCCAAAAACAGCCCAGCCAGGAGCTGGAGATGGGAAAATACTGTTCAAGTTCTTATAAAGTTGTCTGTCTCCGTGCCCTTAAACCAACATTTGAAGCTCAGCACTAGGGAATTCCATGCTCCTGGCTGTTTTAACTCGGGAAGCACACAGTCATGAGTGATGTGGAGAAAGCGAGCAGTGAATTAGTCACTATTTCTTATAGCTTAAGAGGTATTAAAGCAGCAAGTTTAAACAAACAGAAGGATACATCTTGATGGACAGCAAAACTACTTTGGAATTGGGAGAGACAGGCTGCAAGTCTAAGCAGGTTCCAACTGGATTACACAGATGGAAAGGGAACAGGTCCACCAGTGACTACAAAACACCAGGACAGACACAGCCCTGAACTCGGCGAAATGGGATTCCCAGAAGCTGGGAGGAAATCTCCTGCTACTTATACTCACACGCATTCATGTACATTTTTTAGTGGCCAAATTCAAGGAACGATTGCTCAAGTAAGCCCAGCTCCTGGATACAGCAGCTTTTTAAAGTGTCCATGTTACGCTGTCTGTGTGCTCATCTCAAAACTGTAAACTCCAGGTATGCTCAGAACATGGCCTCTGACTACTCCACCTGGTAAACTTTCGCATTTCATTATTACTTACTTTACCTCATCGCTTTAGAGAGGAAAAATGGAAAAGGAAAAACAAAACCCAGCTCCAAAAAACAAAGGCTTCTGATGACAACACTGATGAACACGGACTTACTATTTATTTCCTTCAAAAGAAGCTGAACCCACTTTCTTTAGAGGCTTAACGAAACATGGCAATTGATAACAGTTTTTCATGCATTAACAATAAAAGAAACGTCTTTTTCTTAGCAGTAAGCTCCTATTTCAAAATCTTGCACTGTAACATGCCACAAACCACTAAAAGCTGCAGACACAAGCAAGAGGGAGGCATTCAACAAAAACGTACAAAGAATGCTGGAAATGCTTTCCACTTGCAACTATTTGTTAACACCACCTCTGGGGAACAAAACATTCGCTGGCCTTGAGTTACTGCTCCTTTCAATCGCTGGAGCAGAGCGCAAGGCTGTGATAAGATAGGATGGCCGTGCACTTTGGTGTAAGTATTCAAAGAGCTGCTACTACAAGCTCCAGTAGAGAACAAAAGCAGCACTTCTCAGGTGGAGATCTGGACTCCAGCAAAGGCCCTGTCGAGTCGCTTACAAATGCTCAGCGGAGACAGCCTTGGAGACAGCCTTATGATTTGACTGCATGGATGGGTGACACGCATGCACAGACACACAACTGGGGCAGGTATCATCACAACCACCTTTCCAAAAAAACAAACCCCAACATCTTTTTAGCATCGTATTGAAGCACCACAAATTTTAGCATGCTGACTGTCCTTTACTGAATATCTACGACTACCTAAAGTCAGTAGGCAACTAAGGCTGCTTGCTTAACCCAATGGTAAAGTAAGAAAATCATAAGGCATGTAACTCCAACTGTTAGAATTATTTAACAGGTGAGTGACATTCTTGAAAGAAATTATTTTGTGTAATAATGTCAGCTGCTCCATGTTTTTTTGTCACCATCTACATGATTGCTCCTGTCTAAAATACCACTGTTATCTTCTGGGAACAGTGAAAATAGGAAATTAAAATTAAATACACTACATAATACATGTGTTTAAAATGCAAGAACACAAAGCAATAGTATGCAAAGCCCTGTAAATTCCAGGGTTTGGTCTGTGCGATACTGGTCATCAGCCAACCTTCAACCTTGTGCTCCTGGGCTTTCACTTGCTTTTTGTTAGTGTCTATTTGAAGACCTGGCTCTGCACTGTACCAACCTCCTCGAGTCCTTCAGAAGAATCGGTGGCGATGGCAATGCACAGGACCACACACAATCAGACCTTTCGATGGAGAATTCATCTAAGCAAGCCTTTTAGTCGTGCAGTTCTCCATTGTGTGTTCTTATTTCTACCTACTGTGATTTCCATCACAAGCTGCCACAGCGCAGAGGGTGGAAAAACCCAAACACACCAACCCCAATGGCCTTCCCAGAGGCTGCGTTACCTTTGGCTCCCGTTGCGAATGAATCCAGAGGGACACTCTGCCATGCACTCGTCGTTGTGGATCACAAACCTCTCGTATTCACTCGTTTCGGTGGCAGGGACTTTGGAGCAGAACTCTTTAGTGACACAGCGCCAGCCCTCGAACTTGTAGGTGTTGGGAGGGCAGGTGGGCATGCAGACACCCTCGTAGTAGTAGTTGCGGCAGGCCACGCAAGCGGTGTTGTTGTCGGGTGCTGTGCAGCTCCCCAGGCATTCGGGATGGCAACACTCATTCTGGTCTGTACAGGCTCGCTTGCCACATGAGCTGGGGCACGCTGCAAGACAGAAAGCGAGGAAACGTTAAATCATGTGAAAGGTGTCAAAGGAAGAACCTGGATCCACACAATCCTGTGCTTTCGTTCCCTGGGCTCTCGGGTATCTCTGCAGAAGAACCAACTCTTGTAAAGCTGACAAATTAAATCCTGTTTTCCTCAGTTTTAGCTGCCTGAAAATATCTTCTTCTCAGATCAAATTTATAACTTGAGCCAATTAAATAATAAGGAAAACTGCTGAAAGCAAGATCACCATAAGGATAATGGAAACAGGCAAGTACTGGAACCAATTCCATAGCCCGACTATTATGGTTAATTTTATTATTATTTTGTTTTAGCACTGACTTATTGTCTTCCTAAGCATTTCTTGTCTTTCCTATTTGTACTTCAAATTGGTCTTTTACTGGCAAGAAAACAAGCTTCCTTTAAACAACTTAATTACACTTGTACAATAAAGCACTGCTATACTGTAGCGCACATGGTTAGGTTGACCCCAGCGTAGCATCCCACTGTTGCTTATGTATGCAAAATGGGATTTAATAAAGTACAGATGGCGCACATCAAATACTGTGGAATCACGGAGCTATTTTCCCCTGAAGAGCGTAACAAAATTCTGCTTTATCCCCAAATTCTGGGTTCAGAGAACAAAACATGAAAGGGAGAACGAAAACCTGGGGTGCAAATTTATGGAGATTTTTCTTTTACGTGAGAGCATTTCAGCTTGGGAGATACAAAGAGCAGGATTTTCACCAGACAAGCTCAGCGCTGCTACATCAAAAGAAGAGGCAGCATTATATTTATGTAACAGCAGCATTTTGATTACAGTGTCGTATGGCCTTTTAGCCACGCGAGCTGCGTGCCAGGGGCTCTGTAAACAAACACAGATAGGAAATCTGGTTTGCATTAAGTCACTGTTTTCCACTTTCTAACTTAGCTAAAACACAGCACCAGTAATAACAGCGTAACACAAAATGTCAGTGGTACAACTGCAGCGAGGTCCAAGCAAAGCAGCACAAGACATTTAAACTGCACGGCTTGAGCAAAAAGCACAGAACCAGCAACCAAGTTAACATCCCAAAATGAGCACGGAAGCAGCCGAGCCAAGCCTGTAGAGAAAGGCAGTATTTTAAGAAGCTGTAACATCTCCACAAAAGTTCTGCCCTGCAATTTCTCTTTCAGTTTGCAGCTACAGTGGTGTTTTAATGCAGGACCAAACACCCCAAAATCTTGACACCCCCCTTCCTCTTCCCATGATGAGATCTACGCTTTCCTCTGTGTTTTCACCCTGCTATGGAGCAAAGCACAATAATAATAAAAAAGAGCCCGAGCTGAGTTCTCCATATGCAGTTGAGATTAAGATTTTGTGGAGGAAATTCATCCTGCAGGTACTCCCCAAGTAACCCGACAGCCTCAGCAGCACCTCCCCTGTAACTCTGCACCCCTTTTCATGCACGTTCTGCTGCTATCACCCACCAGCACTGCTCCATCCCTGCATACTGCTATTTTCAGAGTGAAACCAGGCAGAAAAGTAGAAGAGGGAGACTATGAGAGTAAGGAAGTGGCAGCATGGGGATGGCCGGTGCCTGCCCAGGTAGCACAAATCTCACATGCAGGCTAAGAAAATGACTGCAGAGCCAGTTACTTGTAAGACTACTGAGAGCAGCAATGCAGAGGAAGTCACTGCTAAATAATGCATTGTGTGAAGGTGCTGGATTTTTTTCTTCTTGAAAAGGAAAAAACCCATATACACCAAACCCTTAGACAAAAATAAGTATGCAACTACATATTCTGTTTTTGACAGCAACCTGCACCAGTGTAAAAGGAGTAAAGTCTGCTCAGCCATGCCATGCCACCTCAGCAAGGCATTACAAACTGCCTCACCTGAAGGTATGCAGTACTACTTGCATCCGCGACTGCTAAGGGATTAAAAATAATTCTAAAAAAGCGTGTCTTGCTAGCAGATGGGCTGCTGTTCTGAGTGGGTGCCAGAAATCAGATTTTGTGGGGAAGCTGCATTTCCAGTTCAAAGCCCTACGAAGAAAAAAACCACACACCCTCCTCATGCCTCCACCAAGTTCATTAGTAGATGTATCGATTAACTACACAATTTCTGTGCTTTCATCTAGACGATCTGCTAAAAAACAAACACTGCTACATTAAGTGTTCAGATAAATATAGCAGAAAAAAGATCAAGTTTATTTCATTCTTGGGAAAGCCTTTTATATTCCTTTAATGCTTCTGCCATTCACAGTCTGCTGCATAAATAGGATTCCCTGCATCTCCTGGCAAATCTGCTGACTCTCGTCTACAGAAACACAAACTGAAGCACAGGAGGATACACAAGTTCATGTGAAAAGGGCAATCAGTAAAACAGGCTTTTAAAACTACAGTAATATTTTAATCACAGCCTTTTTAACAAGAAGTCTTGAAAACTTCTTAAAGATAATTTTTTAAAAGCTCAGCAACCTCGCTTTTCTCTCAGTCCTATTTTTGCTTGTTCTTGCTAACGTTGGCATAGTTCTCAGCCTGGAGACAATACGGGTATATCCTGTTTCTTTGAAGAGCCAGAACAAGAACTTTTGTGTGTGCAGGACACGTTATGAACAACAAAAACTCTTATCTGCCTTAGTTCCAGTTCCCTCAGATATCCCTTTTACAAAGGAAAACCTTACTGAACAACACTGGCTTGGCTTCACACCCCAGCCCCATCCATCCACCCCCCTGCCCTCCCAAACGTGCTAATTTGTACCAACACATTTTAAATGCAGGTTCCAAATATACCTTTGCCAAAAGAAACCCTGAAATGTGCTCGATAACTTGTTGACTTTAGTCCGCAAGAACATTAGAGGCAAACACAAGCAAACAGCGGGCTGACATTTGGGACAGGATTTATCAGCCAGGTACAACAGTGCCTTGGATCGTGAAGGCTGATGACTGCATAGAAAAAAATCCAAACCGCCGAACAAATCCTTGCTGACAAGCACAAGGGCAGAAAATGCTTAATTGTCATCACGTGGAGCTACCAAGAGAATGGAAAATTTCAGAGACCTTGGAAGGCAGCCATGGGAGAAGGAAGTCAAAGCAAGACCTGGAGAAGGGCAGACCCGTAAGCAGCTTCGTGACTTCAATAAAGAGGTGATGGAGGCTGGAGTAGACCAGGGTGGCTATTTACTTTTAGGGAGTGAAAGTACTGAATGATCATCAGATCCTCAGAGAAGGACATTACAAGAGTACCAGTGGCCACAAATCAGATTTACTGGAGCAAAACCAGCAGCTGTAGTTTCTTTGACTGTCCATGCCTCACCTTCTCACTGTTTATTTCAAATGAGAAGTTTTCCTTGTCAACAAAATTCAGGAGATTTTTCCAAATACTGTTAAGATACTATGATCACTTGCAAGAAAAGGCAAAATATTTCATTTCAAGACGTCCACTTACTGAGGAAACTGAATTCAAACGTGACATACAGGAAGGAGATATTTTGAACCTACATGCAAAGACCTTACAAACAAGAGGAGCTCCAAGAGCATCTGACTCGGAGCCTCATTTATTCTCAATTAAAATCCCCAAGATGCTAAACCAAAATTGCAAACACAAAGCAAATCCTCAAAACCCAACTCTCCAAAAAAAGCAAGAAACAAGTAATCTCTCCGTGTTTACAGCAGTTCCTTTTTGGACAGCCTCACGCTAAGGACGCGGTAGTGAGTTTGTCCCACATCGAACACCCCCTGCTCTCTGAGGTGCGCACGAAGCTCCCGCTCGCTGCAAACACCACGGCTACTGTACAGTTTGGACAGACAAAGTGTTCTGATCGTCTCCAAGACGCCGTGACTGCAGCAGCACCGAAACAGCAAAATCAGGTGAATAAACAATCGGTCACAGGGAGGGAAAGCGCGGCCAGGAGAGGACGACTTCTGGCAAGCTGAGGCGCCGGCCTCTGCCAAGGGTGGCACCGAGCCAGTCACATGCGGGCGAGCAAAAGGTTGCCAAGTGTGGGATAAATATTGTTTTAAAGATTCTTTCTCTCCTTGTAAAACGATATTTGATCCTTCCTTTTTTATATATGTACTGTTTTGTGTTTTTTTTAGAGCATCCTTCATGTAAAATAATGTTTCAGAAAGAAAAGGGGGGGGGGAAGCCGAGTTTTGAGCAGGAACCAGAGGAGGAAGGGAGCGTTTTCTCCTAGCCAACTACTGAAAAAATTAGCTGTCTAAATTTATCCACAAAGACAGAAAAAACGGTCATTTTTGGAATGCTAATCCCTTTACATGACAGAATTTTTAAAATATTGCATTTTAATGGTCTAAACTTTGGTACGGTCATTCAAACAGCTGACTTCAAACACTCAAGCAGCCCTTACAAGACCTGATTTCTTTTGCCCAGTAAACTGTGAGAATAGAGAGACTGCAGAGACATTACTCAGAAAATCCACTTACAGTGATTCACTGCCAGGGCTACAATCAAATAACTACAGAATAAAGGCTGCAATAAGGAAATACACACATTAAATACATGCGGCAACGTGTCCTGATCACAGAAATACGGGTACAAGTCATCCCCAAAGAACTGAAGAGGCCACTTGGAGCAGCTGTATAAAAATCTTCATATTGCTACAGAAACAGGTATTAGCAACGTATGAACAATGTTACTTGATGTCTCTTCTGTTTCTCCCCAGCACTCTAAAACTGATTATCTCACACTCAGTGAAAAACCTGAAGGAAAAAAACCACAGCCATATCTAAGTACCTTCTAGTAGTTAAGGCACTAAGATTGGCCCATTTTGAAATGACCTGCCAGATCTCAAAGGTTCAGCTCAACTCAGCACTGATACTAGGACTTGAAAGTGATCTCCTCCTTCTTTAAGCCTCTAGTACGTAGACAGCCCTGCTCCCCAGGAAAATATTTGGATAGGTCTATACAAACTTATACCAAGAGGGCATTAAGCCTACAGGCTGCAAGCTACATCTGACAAGATCATTTCAGTGGTCTTGTGTTCCCATGTTTA